CAAATATAGTTTATACACAAAAAGAAGGTATTTTGATAACGTTTTCTACTGTGACCCAAGGGAGGTAATTTGCACTTCTCTTAACCTACAAACAGTTTTCTTCCTGTAATTTCATATATAATTCAGATTGTTAATTTGTTTATGTGTTAAAATTAGAAACATGTTGATAATCTGTTATCAATGGAATTGATTTGTGGTCAGATTCCATTACATTAACCATGGGGACAAGAATTGATCAGGTGCTTCACTTATTGCATGGTTTGTCAGTAATGAACACTGATTTACTGTCATAATATAAATACTTAGGCTAAAAGAATTTTGTATAAACTATTATGTAAAAAAAAGATAACTGTTCTAAACAGACTAAAAGAATTATTTAGAGGTGAATAATGTTGATAAGAATATTTGTACAGTTTTTAGTAAATGATGAAATAATTCTCGATCACTCTTTTAATATCTCTCATTAGTCCTGGTTTATTGACCTTTTAAAAATGTATAAGAGAAATGTATAAGATTGAAATTTCAGCCTTTATTTATGTTAAATATTGGCTTATCATTTCCTAACTTATGTTCTATATACTAAAATAGAACTGCTGTAAGTTAGATGTTTCCTGGAAATTATAATATTTTCCAAATCAGAAATTATGTCTCTAAACAGTAATTTAAGTTGGATTTTTGGCACAGCCAAGTCCAGAATACTATTTCCAACATTTTGATAAGTTTCATTACTAACACCTTACATCAAGGTAGGTTCTCAAACTTTGGGTGGTTGTTTTCAAATGTAAAGTCACAAGGCGAGGACTCCAGTATCTTCAGTCCCAAAAATCACTGGTAACTGTTAAAATATTTATAAGTAGAGTTTTGCTGGTCTATCTTTTTCAATTTTCCAAGATCTCAAAGTCATAATAATTTGTTTGATTTGACAACACTTCATCTATATAATGGTATGGATAAATCCCTGTCATGTCAGATCTAGAAATTGTGATATAAAGGATATTTAAGGGTTTCCTTTTCAATATCATACATATTTCACAAGTATGATATATTACCTATATTTTCACATGAATGAAAGAATAGTTTTTGCCAGAATGAAATAAATATATATTCTGTCAAACAAGTTATGCTGTTATCTAATAAAAATTGAATACAAATTATATATTTTATATTCCCAAAACAGAAATGTACATGAGAATTACAAGATGTGTTGTAACTGATTCAAACTTTATTTCATTTGTGTTCAGACAGAAAAATTGACAAATTTCAAAGAATCGCTATAAAGCACTGCTCTGGTTGGTCAAAACTAGGTTTTTATATCATCACATGAAAAGTTTTTAAGATTTATTTTGTCATCACTTTTTTGAGTTTGAGAAATAGATGATTTGACATTTCGCTTGACAACAATCATCATACCAAGAAAGGATTAGTCAATACTACAGAAGTCTTATGTCTTCACAGTGATGACTAAATAAGTTTCATCACTGAAAGTCTTGTGTCTTCACAGTGATGACTAAATAAGTTTTATCACTGAAAGTCTTATGTCTTCACAATGATGACTAAATAAGTTTCATCACTGAAAGTCTTGTATCTATCACTGAAAGTCTTGTGTCTTCACAGTGATGACTAAATAAGTTTCATCACTGAAAGTCTTGTATCTATCACTGAAAGTCTGGTGTCTTAACAGTGATGACTGAATAAGTTTTATCACTGAAAGTCTTGTATCTATCACTGAAAGTCTTGTGTCTTCACAGTGATGACTAAATAAGGTTTTATTGTATTTATATATTTCTATATTTCAGTGGTAAAAATGTTTATCAATTCTTATAAATTATGATCATGGTCAGTTTTAACACCCAGGACAAAGAACAGAAAATGATTTATGTATGCCCTTTCAATGCTAATAAATCACGATGGTCTCGTTAACAAATCAACCTTAGAATCTTAACTATCTAAAAACAAACTTTTACACAAAATGGGTATAAAACAAAAATGATTTTGTCCATAATGTAAAGAAATTCCTGAAACAATTGAAAATCTTGTTTGGGATGATGATGAAGGATGTCACATTTCAAGAGAATTAAAACAATTTCATTGGATAATTCAGCTCTAAAAAAATGCTCACTTGTTAATAGAAAGTCTTATTATTGGTAAAATAATACACTGTCAAATGTATAGAGATGAAACTTAACAATGTAATAAGTAAAACAAATCAAAGTCTTTTCAAAACATAAATCTCTAAAAGTATTTTATAGGAAATAACAGAAATAATTATTGTTACTTTACTAAGAATACTATACAAAAGTAAACTTGAAGTTAAAGCCCTTTTCCCACATGTGTGTAATTATGTGTACATGGGTTTCCTGTGTGTGTGGTGTGTGTAATTATGTGTACATGGTTTTCCTGTGTGTGTGGTGTGTGTAATTATGTGTACATGGGTTTCCTGTGTGTGTGGTGTGTGTAATTATGTGTACATGGTTTTCCTTTGTGTGAGGTGTGTGTAGTAGTGTGTATATGGTTCTCCTGTGTTTGTGTGTGTGTGTGTGTGTGTGTGTGAGGGTGTGTGTGTGTGTGTGTGTGTGTGTGTGTGTGTGTGTGTGTGTGTGTGTGTGTGGTGTGTGTGTTGTATGTAATAATGTGTACATGGTTCTCCTGTGTGTGTGTGTTGTATGTAATAATGTGTACATGGTTTTCTTGTGTGTTGTGTGTAATAATGTGTATATGGTTCTCCAGTGTGTGTGTGTGTTGTATGTAATAATGTGTACATGGTTTTCTTGTGTGTTGTGTGTAATAATGTGTATATGGTTCTCCAGTGTGTGTGTGTGTTGTGTGTAATAATGTGTATGTACATGGTTCTCCTGTGTGTGTGTTGTTTTTAATAATGTGTACATGGTTGTCCTGTGTGTGTGATGTGTGTAATATTGTGTACATAGTGATGTGAAATGAAATTGATGTATGAATGATTACTATCTACTTATTGCATTCTATTCAAATAGGAAATGGAAATTGAATATTTAAAAAAAAAATAGAAAAAGGTAGGAATTTCCTATATTTTATTGGCAAAAGTATAATGAAGAGGAATTTTTAAATTGTCCTTTGACAGTTTTGTTATCTATCAGACACTGAGAATAGTTTGTATGATTTTTTTCTATATCTAAAAACACAATTGTTTGACATTGGTCAAGTTTTGATTCCTGAAGCAGATAAAGTCAGTAGGCCTGGTTAACCTGTTGGCTGTGCTACCACTAGTAATACAACACTATTATCTTTTTAGACTACATTTGGGATTCCTTGTGATCACATTGATTTTGTATTTTTGAAAATATGTTACCTAGACAACAAAAAGAAGATTCAGTCTGTTTTATGTGAGAATAAAATCGTATCATTACCAGGTATCAAGGTATTGGTTTGGTGCCAGATAGAGAGATAGAAAAAGGGAGATTTCTATGTACAAAGACTGGGACTGCAATTTCACATCACGAAAGTCAAATCAGCTATAGTTCCTCGTAGATAAAATGATTTGAGCAGTAACAATGCTACAGATAAAAAAAAATCACATCTCGTAACTGAACAAAAATATTGAACATGGGATTACATCACTGTAGTATTTGTCAGGCATCGCTGGAGTACATTACATTGGTCACTACATCGCTGGAGTACATTACATTGGTCACAATGTCACTGGAGATCATTCAGTTGGTCATGACATCACTGGAGTACCTATCATTAGGAACATCACTGAACTACATTGCAGTGGTGATGACATCACTGGCGTACATTGCATGGTATTGACATCACTGGCATACATTGAATGGTGATGACATCACTGGCGTACATTGCATGGTATTGACATCAATAGCATACATTGCATGGTGTTGACATCACTGGCATACATTGCATGGTGTTGACATCACTGGAGTGCATTGCATGGTATTGACATCACTGACGTGCATTGCATGGTGTTGACATCACTGGCATACATTGCAGTGTTGATGACATCAGTGGAGTGCATTGCATGGTGCTGACATCACTGGCATACATTGCATGGTGTTGACATCACTGGCGTACATTGCATGGTGTTGACATCACTGACATACATTGCAGTGTTGATGACATCACTGGAGTACATAGCATGGTGAAGACATCACTGAAGTACATTGCATGGTGTTGACATCGCTGAAGTACATTGCATGGTGTTGACATCGCTTAAGTACATTGCATGGCGTTGGCATCGCTGAAGTACATTGCAGTGGTGACATTGTTAAAGTACATTATGCTGAAGATACGATTTTAAGATTTCATAACTATTGTGAAGTTGTAAATCTAAACATATATCTTTATTGTAAATTTTTTTTTTTTCATTTCCATGACAAATACACTGTGTATGCAGTGTATAGGATTTCAAATTATCTCATATTTTTGAAAGTTTAGATTTTCAACTTTTCAGAATCTATAATGACTGGATACTGGTCTAGTTAGACACTGTGTAGTAAAGCAAGAGTAGTGATCCAAACATTTTTTACACTCTAGTAAATGTGTTGCCATGCTGGAATGTCTCCGGTCAAGTGTAGAACTGGGTACCACCATATGTCAGAATTACTCACACGATCGCACCCTTAGTACACTTAACAGATCTTCCAGCATATGAGAGCTCTCTCACTTACTGCACAGACTTTATTTACTGGTTAAGTCTCTGTTCAATTTAGTGTGGATATAGAACTGTGTAGTTTTGGCATTTATAAACAATATGTTTCCTAATTTTTTGTATTTGGACTTATGGCATGCATTTTCTTTCTTACTAGATATCAAATTAACATATTTTATTTCTTTTGCAGATCTTGTGCAAACTTGAAGTTGGGAATTTTATTCTGAAGCACTGAATTGAAGGATTAACTATCACTATCAAGGAATATTCATCATATTTTATTTGTTAAACAAAGTTTAATGTGCAATCTGAAGTTTTGATGATGTGAAATCTTTATTCTCTGGATTAAAAAACAAAGTAACCTAAATGTGTGATCAGAAGTCACCAGAAATCTGATGTTCTCTTTGTGGAGTTAAGACTTAAAAGCGTGACGACGAAATGTTACTGTGTTTTCCTAGGACGTTGGATTTATGATATAGTGTAACTCGTGGACATGGGCACAAGCTTTGTTTTTCTGGTATTGATATTTGTATTAGGAATATCAGTGGCAGACAAACCAACTCGTAAGTATATATGTTTGTTCAGAACATTCTTTTGGTGTTTAATGAATTTGTTTAAATTTTATAAATTATTCATTAACTTCATTAACTAGAAAGTTTTTAACATTCAGGAGATATTGATTGTTTCTTTTAGAAATATGTTTACTTTTGCTTATATTAAGACCATTTTCAGACATTTTAAATATGTTGGGGTAGAGAGGGGGGAGTCAAAGCAGTCCCAGTATTTTTATTTCTGGAGTGGATGAAGTATTCTCTGTGATATTCTTTAAAACATTTATCCTGGGTATGTTTGAAATAATTGCATTGGCCAAGTCTCATCTGATCTTCCCATTGTTTCCTTCTTGATGATTTTTAACCAAACAGAGCCTCCACATCATGGTTGAAAACCTCTTGCATGTTTTGCAATAGTAAAGCATGTTTGGAGAATTTGTATACTGAGGTCAGAGGTCACAGAGAAGTTTTTACAAGCCAGCTGTGGTGTAACTTCCTAGTAGTCTATTGTCACTCGTGCATACACAGAGACTCCTTAGTCAAACATTCAACAAGTATTCAAATTATTGCTGAAGATGTTATCACAAAAGGTACTATTTATATTGTAAGGTTTCTGAATGCCTTGGTTATTACAAACAAGTTTTCTGATGCCAACTCTTCCACAACACATAAGTGGCATACATAGTTTTCAAATACCTGAGTTTCAGAGTTATCTTTCTGCAAACAAGCAAAGGGACATGTAAGCTATGTACATCACAGGCCAAATGGGAAACAAAATATGACTATGGAATCGATCTAACACAAGAACACAGAAAACAGCTTTGTGTGACTTGTCACCAGAAACCTCCTTTATACAAAAATAAATGGCCAAGTTTGTATTCATTGGGGTCAAAACAAAGGTGTGTGTAGGTATTTGGGGCTGGTCACGGTCTCTGAGCATCCCGAATACCAGGACAGCCCTACAATGGTATAGGGTATTGGAGACGAAGATCATCCCCATCCATATCCTACTCAGTAAAGCCTACACAAAGGCTTCACCACAATCTTTTAAGGAGACCCTTTTTTGTCAATTTCTGCTCTGTTTAGTTTCCTTAGCAACAATGGATTTATTTGTCAGGGGCATGTCTAAAGTAAAATTTGAAGGAGTGATTTTCAATGCGCACCTTGGCAACTGAAATTTAAACATGAAGAGATACACCTAGCTGGATTAGGTGACCTAGATATCTTTTAACGACTCTTTTAAAATGCTATTCACAGCTTTGTGCAAGGCTGAAAATAGATCCCCTTGCAAGGTTAAAAAGTTCAAGCAATACTATTTTAATGATGAATACTCTATGTATTACTAAAAGCTATTATGCCACTTGGTAATCTAGTTGAAAGGAACCCAAATGGTCAAGCTGTCCTCCGCATTTGTACCTTATTCATAAAACTTCATTAAAACAGATTTTTATACTTCATTAAAAATCTTTTGAAACGGTGACCAGATAAATATATCCTGTTTTGGGAGAGTTGATACATGTGCTTCAAACTGTACCAGGTGTATTTCATTAATATTAACTTGTTGGGAGGTTCCTGTGTGCACACATTTCTTAACATTTCTTAAATTTCTCATCATTTGAGCGAGATTTATAGATGAACAACATGTACACATGGTTGTGTAGTCAGTGTTAAACTAAATTTTCGTTTTATATCTCCTTACAATCAACACTCAGAACTTTGTGTAATGGTTGCTGTAAAATTTACGCAATACCCATAAAAAGAATTTTCACAGAAAGTTTATTAACATGGAAGTCCGAGGGAAAAATTTGCAGTGTAGCTGTCTTCACACGAAACTTGTTGGAGGTTGAGTTTGAACATTTGAACAGGAATATGATGTAGCAACATCCTGAAATATTTCAGATATTTCAGGAGTTTTTTTTGAAAGAAATTTTTAAACTAAATGTAAGTAATATTAGGTATATATTACATATATAGAAATATTTCTATATATGTACGCTAGATAAAGAGGTGGCTGGAGACTTTGGTTATGGAGTTACATATTTGTACTTAACAATTAGCTTCTGGGTTTTTGTTTTCACATCTCAAAGCATCTTTCATTGGCATTTTTGTTTGACTTCCTGCAGAATAGCGTTGTCAGATGTACAGCAGTTCTTAGAGTAGTACACATATGGATTTCATAATTACCAATCCACTAGAACTTCAGTACAACATAAAATACAGAATTAATTCAAGAAAAAGTCTATTCCATCAAAAGAATTCCATTCACCTGATCTTGAAACTTCTAGAGAAAATCCAGCTGAAGCTAAAGCAAAGCATTAATTTGAAAATAAGAAGTTGTTTTGTGAGTATAGTAACCAACATAACAAAGGCGAATGTTTGGGTTGCATCAAATCTTTGTAGTGTTTATTACTGAGGATGGAAGAGGAAGGAAGTGTAACAAAACTATATCAAACCACAAGTCTACAGATAATACTGATTCTAGCTTCAGTACAGATGCCTCGAAAGTTTAAAATATTTATCTTCATGTAGGTAACCATTCAAAAACACAGTTGAGTTAAAATGATCAGGAGTCATTGTTGTGACCTCTAAAGTGTTTTCTTTTCCTTAGGCCCACCCGAATTAAAGGACATCAACAAAATCAATGACTTGAAAGTGTACGAAGGCTCTAAAGCAAGGTTACGATGTACTGTGAAAGGACATCCACGTCCCTGGGTCATATGGACAAAAAACAACCAGAGTGTCTCTCCAAAAGAAGAGCCTAGGTATAATGTCTGACAATTCTTTTTATGTTCACCCAATTGTAGATATTTTCCTTTTCTTTATTTTTATGTTCACCCTACTACTGTAAAGAATTTCCTTTTCTTTATTTTTATGTTCACCCAACTACTGTAGAGATTTTCCTTTTCTTTATTTTTATGTTCACCCAACTACTGTAGAGATTTTCCTTTTCTTTATTTTCATGTTCACCCAACTACTGTAGAGATTTTCCTTTTCTTTATTTTCATGTTCACCCAACTACTGTAGAGATTTTCCTTTTCTTTATTTTTATGTTCACCCAACTACTGTAGAGATTTTCCTTTTCTTTATTTTTATGTTCACCCAACTACTGTAGAGATTTTCCTTTTCTTTATTTTCATGTTCACCCAACTACTGTAGAGATTTTCCTTTTCTTTATTTTCATGTTCACTGTAGGGATTTACTTTATCTTTTCTAGCCAATAAAGAAGAAGGATTTTTCTTCCAGAAATCATGATTTGTATGAGTTAATTTTCAGTTGTTTTCTGAATCGTTCAAACAAAACATGGTGACTTGAAACATGATTTTATGGCCCTAAACCCAAATCATTCCAATGCTAGAGTATGATTTTTTTACTGCTCATACAAATGTTCCTGCATATTAGTAATGTCCTAGAATCTAAATAAGCTTTCAAGGACAGCAATTATCAATTTAGTAGCAGTGTTTTAAATGATTCAATGAATTGTTAGTTTTGTTGCAAAATAGCAGAAAGAAAGAAAACTTTTAACATAAACATTTTTATCACTTTCCATTGCAGATATAAAATCAATAGAAACGCACTCATAATAGACAAAGTGCATCGTAACGACACCGCAGTCTTCTCCTGTTATGCATGGAACCAGCATGGGAACGTTTCCACCAGTTTTACATTAACGGTTATTACAGGTAGGTTATAACTGACATACCTCCAACCTTAACAACGTGGTCAGTATCAAGTGGAAATCAGTTTACTCAGTGTGATCAGATATAGAAAACTTGTCTTACTTAAGATTTGTCCAAGATATTAAAAATATGTTGACAAATATGTCTCCAAAGTAACTCTTTGGCCTGAATTGTAAATTAGGTGAATTGACTAGGGTATTATCAAGTGTCAGACTTTGTAATGAAATAAGAAAACTGAATCTGTTTCATCAGTAGTGTTATGAGAAATAGGTATGAGCAATAAAGAAGTTAGCATAGATTGACTTCGGCAACATGTGGCGTCGGATTTAACTTACTAGTCGTCAACCCAGTTATATTCAATTACAACATCACAACTCATTTGCCTTCATCGTATTGTGATACATACAGTCAGCTTTAATTTTGTATTGTTTGAAGATTTTACAAAATTGCTTGGGAATGAGAGACAAGCCTGTGTAACCAGTATATGGGTATCTGATGTTTATTTCGGCTCCAGGATGATAGAGGGTCCAGCAAGGACATAGCTAGTCATCCCTGGGCTTCATCTGGATGGAGTTTTAAAAAGCCCTGTCAGTTTATTTAACACAAGCAATATCTCTCAGTACACTTAAACAAAATACATCAAAATGTTAAAAATGTAAAAGACAGGAAAAATAACTGAATAGAAGTCACAATAGAAATGAAAAATCCCAGTCGTTATTGATTCTCGTTTACCTCAAAGATTTTAAAAATAGGTTGCGTACGGATAAAGCCAACAATGAAATTACAAAGGGCAGTACGTGGAGCCCTACACACAGGATATAGGGATCATCTGTACCGAGAATCTCCAAGCCTCAATTCACAGACTTTCATAACTCATTATAAACAGTTGTTTTTAGTGTGAACCTTTTAGTTGAGCAGCAGTCTGTTTGGAGCCTACTAAATTAGCTGTAGCCATCCTACATGTGTGATATGAAGTTATTTAACTGAAGTGTGAACTACTTTAAGGCTCGGGGTGTCACCTATGAATTAATGTTAGGCCTTTGTGACTGTGGTGACTAATGGTGTTTTTGGTATAATGTTGACCAAATACTGACATTTTAGTCCTGAAGTTGATAAATCTACACACTATATATGTGATGTATATCAGACAATGAAAAGGTCTGGTCAGTTTTTAGTTGGTGCCCGATAGTCTTGATCCCAGGTATGATAATACATACATTGTACCTGTCAAGTTTATAATGAATAATTGAAAGTCAGTTATTATTGAAGATTTCAAACTTCTTGGTGACATATTCTGGTATTTTATGTTGACCTTCATACATCAGAAATAAAGATGGATTTTTAATTTTACAGAGGAAGAAGAAGAGCCAGCAGAACAGTCGTATGCCATCTCTAAATGTAACAAGAAGGAAGAAGGTACAGTAATCAATAACCTTAACTTGCTTTTCAGAGACATGGCCAAGAAATAGCTTCTGTAGGTAGTTGGCTTGTATAGTGCCTGTTTTGTACCAGATATAGATGGTACATTACACAGTCTGTGGTAGATATGATATTGGGTATGGTAACGCAGTCACACTTATCACAAGCCTGTTATGGTATCCATCTTCCATACCTTTGTGTTATCACAGAGCAAACTAGATTCATTTGATACTGATAGCTTCTTACATTGAAACAAAAAATTCATTCCAATTTACAAAAAAATAAATTCATTTTGAAAAATAATCAAGAAAAAATAGTGAGAAATATTGATGTTATTCAGCATTAGTCTGAAGTGGTCAGTAGTTTATCGATATCATTAGGAGTACAAGCTGAAAGTGAATAGCTGTTCACTGAAGTTGCACAGGTCCTGATGTTTACAGTGAAGATGTTTATAGAAATAACACACACAGAACAGGTAGTCATTCCTCATCTAAAGATGATGATCTTTCCTGGGGTGTGTATTTGTTTTCTTAAGATTGTGATACTTGTAGTGTAATTATTTCAGCTGAGTTGATAAGTAGTTGAGTCTCCTCCACCAATATCTCGTTAGTTGTATCATTGAGAGGCTGTAGAAAAATCTTTTTCCTTCAATCGTTAGTAGATTAGTGGGGTTTGTAGAGTATCAGTAGGATATGAAAAGTTTTTGTCCCAGGTCCAAATCTCAGCCACAATTATTTTTGAGGAACGTATTGCACGGAAGAAAATATACATTCCCAGAGATCAGCTGATATCTTGAAAGAGATATATCTAGAACATTTGTCTTGATAACATACCACCAAATTGTATTGTGTGTCATATTACTATACGGAGTCTGTGAGAATTCAGCCTTGTTAATTATCTGGAGTAAGGGTTATATACACAAGATTCAAATCTTGATATTTCACAGTTGACATAACCTGGGGTGTAAACCGAATCATTACAAACAAAGTTTACAATGGTCTAAATTTAGTAACCCATCTCGGCTGTGGTGCAGGCGAAAAGTTATACATTATATAGTCATTATCTCCAAATTTCTGGTGTAAAAAAATGACATGAAAACCTGATATAAATTACATGCAGATGTGTCCTCGTTGACTTTGGAACATTTTTAAATTCAAGCTCACTTTTTTGGATAGGCATGTAACATTATTGATGTAGAATACAAACAAATTTGTTATATGTAATAACAATTTGATAAAAAAAGAAAACGATGATATCTGTCAGAAATATATATGTTGTAATGAAGATGTACGAGATGGATGACATTCAATTAGAAAGTTGCTTTTCAACATTTCATTTATACAGTGACATGAGACGGAAAACAACATCAGCTCTGTAAGATTGAAATTACTTTTTTAGACAGGTAAAACTTGACATTGTGGCCTTAGGATGTCAAAATTAGATTACAAAGCTAGGGTTTACATACTTTTTCAGTTTTTGTCCTTTTAGATATGATGAACCTATCTTTAATTTTTGCTCTCAAGGTAAACTAAAAATGTATCTAGATAATATACAGCACTGTCATGACCCCTCATCAAGATATGTATTGTGACTTACCTGCTGTAGCTTTCAAAAGATTTACTAGTTTGACTTATAAAAGGGTATTGTAAGACATTGTAGTTTGAAAGTATACGTAAAGTTAAACCTTGAGAGGTTCTGGGAAAGAAAAGGATCAGAGAGTTCTTTCAGTCAAGACTACCACAGAAATGGTTGTTTTGAGTATTGCTGTCAATAGCTAACAATTGGTAGCCTTTCAGTACAGACAAATGTAGTGATAAGAAAGCACATTTCAGATGTTAGAGAGGCAAAGACAAGAAATGCTAAGTAGATTATGATTAAATGAAAGAGAAGATAGGAGAAGAGAGTGGAGGACCCTTCCTCAAACAACACAGAATATCTAGGATATTTTAGGATTTATTTTTGTTGCGGCCAAATTATAAAACTTTGACTTAATCTTGTAGATGAGTTCTTACACATTAGTAACTCAAACATAGGCTAACTTATGACAGATATAAACTGAATTCATTGTACAACAATAGTGAAACAAGTTTTCAGCTTATAACTTTTGAGCTGAGGTCTTACTGAGGAAGGAAACCCTGGACTTTTTGACTTGGCAGCTGGGGTGTTACTGAGGGAAGAAACCCTGGACTTTTTGACTTGGGAGCTGGGGTGTTACTGAGGGAGGAAACCCTGGACTTTTTGACTTTGGAGCTGGGGTCTTACTGAGGGAGGAAACCCTAGACTTGTTGACTTGGGAGCTGGGGTCTTACTGAGGGAGGAAACCCTAGACTTGTTGGGGCAGATGACCCCATACTTTTCAAGTCCAGTTTGGAAATCAACCCACTGATAGTCTAGGTGAAAAACATTCATGTTACAACTGTGTTCCATCCTATCGATTTGCAAATGATGAAATGCTTCAACATTTTAGGAAGTTTGGGCTGTACCAAAGTAACAGTATTTATATACAACTATTTCTCTACTAGCTATAGTGCTATCACTTCTGCCTAACATGCTTCAGATTGATTTTGGGTTTTTTTTACGTAATGAAGATGGAAAACAAACTCTGGAAAGCTGACATACTTAAAAGCCTATCATATCCTGTTTCTTATTTTTCCCCAACAAAAATATGAACAAGTGTTAAAACTACTTCATTTCAAAGTGACAGAACCATAATCTATTTTGAGAAAAATTTCGGGGGGGGAGTTATCATTTTTAAAGAAGTAAATATATGTGTGCATATATATATTCATTATTTTAAGTGGTAGAATTCCTGCTGATATGTACCAGGTGGGTTTTCCTTCCTGGGTTTTGGTTTGGGGGACTGCCTGCCGTGTGTGACTCATGAAACCTCTGTCGTAGTCTAAAGACATCTAAACCTTTCAAAACAACTTGACGGTTGTCAGGAGAAAACACAATCTATAAGGAGTGGTCTGAAAAATATTTCTTTTGTTACTTGGGTAGTATAGCCATGGTATTTAATCTGTTCAAATGTCGTCAAAACCCAGATTAATCTCCTAGAAAATCTAATCCTGTTTTAAGCTTTAGAAATTAGTTTAAAAAAAAAAAAAAGTGAGAAAAAAAGTAATTTGGTGTAAGATCATGAATTGCTGTAAATTTGAAACGGACTTCAATAATTTTACTATACCGTAGTATTCCATACAGAGATGGCTGTTTATTAAAGACTTATATCAAAGGGGAATAAAAATGTCAGATTTCAATTGACCATACTTGACCATTTAGCTCTGGACCAGATCTATGTCAGCATGTGAAGCTATCCACATGTGGTTAGTGTGCCTTGCTGCTAGTATCACAGGGTTTTCCTTTGTGTGTAGGTGAGAATTGTGTATGTACCCTGTTCACCCCCTCCAGCTCCCTCCACTGCCCATCTTCTGCTTCTTCCCACAGCCTCCGTAGGGGGAATGCATACACCCTCACACAGTAGGGGTGAGGACTGGAGTGTCACAGTAATGCCATGGACCAGGGCTGATTTGTACCATATGGACCAGTTTGGAGTTACAAACACTCCAGATACATCACAAATGCTCCCTCCCATTTCTGGTAAAATCAGTGCTAAAGCATAGCCGGAAAAAATTAATATGAAAATTGAAGTGCAATCTTTCTTATTTATGTTCCATAAACTTTTGAAAATACTCTAAAGAGAAACCCTTAAAGTTACATTACAAACAAATAGCTAAATTCAAAGTTAAGAAAAAAATCTGAAAAAAAATCTGTTATTTTTTAGTATTTGATAAAGCTCTGTCAATGTAGCCTATACATTAGTCTCCCTACACACAGACATTCTGTTATGCAATTATGAGTTGGGTACCATTTTCATTATTCATAAACATGCATGTGAGTCACTCTCCTGGTCAAGTTAGATTGTAACATGGGACCTGTCCTTGCTAAGTTAGATCGTAACATGAGACCTGTCCTTACTAGGTTAGATCGTAATGTGGGGCCTGTCCTTACTAGGTTAGATTGCAATGTGGGACCTGTCCTAACTAGGTTAGATCGTAACATGGGACCTGTCCTTACTAGGTTAGATTGTAAATTGTGTTGTATAGTAACATATCTTTATTGGATTTGTTGTCCAATCTTGTGTATCAGTATTAAATTACTATGCATGTCAGGTATCAGTTTCTTAAGATTCACATGGTTGGATCATAATGATGAAATAAGTGGAATTGATGATGCATCAGAAAATTTGTTAATAGATCTGTTGAAAATTATGCACGCCTCAAGGAAGAGTGATAAATATTGATTATTTCTGAACATATAAATTAATTAAAAAGGTGATAATTTTAGCAGGTATTACTTACATTCATTTTTCAATTTCATGAAATGAGAACAAAAATATGTAAATTTATTCTTTCCTGATGCATCAAAGAGATAGTTGTAAATTTGTGTGAGAGATTTATGACCTCTCCAGCAGAGTCTTTGCTCCTCCCTTAAACAGTTGTGATAGGTCTGACACAGGATTATCATGGAATACCAATACACAAAGGACATCAGTAGATGTGCTCTGTGGTCCCTAGTGCTCAATTACCACATTCTGTAGACGTAATGTTAGAGATCTGGTCTCCTTCCCCTGTTTTACTGACAATTTCAATTCTGTCAGATTTCTAAGCTGTTGTTTATATGGCCAAATCTGACAATTTCAATTTTGTCTGGAGATGTAAGAAATGTAAAAGGTGCTTTGTCATTGGTCTGCAGGAATTCAAAGTGTTGAGATACGACCACAGATTTTTCTCTGTAAGTCTTTGTTTTCATGATGTAATAATGTTCTGTCTGTGAAAATAATATTTGAAATAATCGAGGGGAGTTGGGAGGGGGGAATGTAAGACTTGGCTAGAATGTTCTCACAACATAGAGACTGTTGATAGAAAAAAGACCACAGACTTTGCTGTCAGTTGTTACAGTTGTACAGATTGGATGTGTATTTTAAGCAAAGAACACCAGACACCTATAATGAAAAATTTCAACCTGTGAACTCGGAATGTCTCCTCGACATAGGGCCACTCTGTTGTGGAAAGCTTAATTTGCATTGTGTATGAGTGCTAAAATGCAATTAATTGCAATGTGTTAAATTATATCTGACAAGTGAACAATTAAAGGGACGTCACCGTGATGTAATTTTTTTTTTTAAACAGATATGATACAGGTCCTTATTGTAAAAATGTGGTCAGAATTTGCTGCAAAATAATGTAAACAGTGTATAACTTGTTAAAAAGCATAGGAGTTTACCACTAAAGCCTAGAATAATCTGACTGCATGTGTCGAAAAACTTCAACAATATGGTGTCCTTTGTGAAGCGGTGGAAAACAAATACTGTCATTGCTTTAGCTACAAAGTCAAGAGTTGTCAAAGTTAGTAGGATCTTCCAAGGGTTAGGATAGGAAGTCATTGTAAGTGATAGGAAGATATCAAACAGAAAGACATAGGCAGAATAATACAGTCTGTGATCATGACAAGTAAATTCAGGCTTTTACAATGCATATATATATATACAGCCCTTATATATACAGTAATGGTGAAATGTCAAATGTTTTACATATCATTATTATATGTGTATGCTGAATAAAGTTTAAGCCATTATAAATAGTGTGCAACATCATTTAGAACATTACGTTTCACAGAAAACAGTCTTTATCTCTACTGTTGATGCTTTCACTCTTTTCAAACAAATGTAACAGCCTCTTTTCTGCAATTGATATATGGTATAAATTGGCACTATATTTGAGTGGTTAGAATGGACTATTGAGTATTGAGATTGCTTCTAGACATAATTACAGGTGTGAATAATATGTCCAATCTATTTGTAATATGTTCTTACCTTGATGTCATGGTGTTGAATTTTAGGGAAACCAGTTGTTTGTGATACAGTGAAGGAGATTGATTAAAAAAACTTTTGAAAGTAATCCTGGAATAGTTCAGAGAAATTTTTCTTGTGACTTTTCTGGAAATATTTTCTGTTGTCGTTACCAATATATGTTTTTAGCTAATCTGTTTTTTTTTCTCAAAATTGCAGGAGCACCATCATGGAAACCGAGCAAAGAGGATTCGAGGTGGATTGCACGTCCGGCCCGTGCCCCAGTGGAACTAAAATGTCAAGCTTGTGGAAATCCCATCCCAAACATCACCTGGTACAAGAACAATCTTTATATTGACTCGAGTGTCAAGGAAGGAAAGGTAAATGGCCAATAAAATGTAGCCTTTTTTGTTTCAATTACTGAATGGCCTAGTGGAGGTAAAATGATTTATAACAATTACAGAATTACCAAAGACTTACAGAATTGACAGAAATGTTTAATGCTAAAGTTACTGGCTTTTAGAGTATTTTAGTATAGATAAATTTGTTTATAGATCCAGGGTACCTGCTACGTAAAAACACCAAAAAAGGGGGGAAAATGCTGCCAGATCCCAAGTACACCAAGGATAGTGTTGAGGAAATTAGATTAATGTCTGGAAATTGATATTAGTGGAAATAAGGCTCAGGACTAACATGTGTTGTCCATATTAAAACCAACAGTACATTAGACAAGATCAGTTAGCTTGTACAAACTTTTGGCTGTTCCCATTAAGATTAATGTCAATCAAAGTTTGTACAAACTTGTACCTTTAAGATCAATGTCAATTAAAGTTTGTACAAACTTGTACCTTTAAGATCAATGTCAATTAAAGTTTGTACAAACTTGTACCTTAAAGATCAATGTCAATTTAAGTTTGTACACACTTGTAACTTTAAGATCAATGTCAATTAAAGTTTGTACAAACTTGTACCTTTAAGTTCAATGTCAATTTAAGTTTGTACAGACTGTTCCCATTAAGGTTAATGTTAATTAAATCCTTTCAATCTGTTTCCATTAAAATGAATGCCAATTAAAGCTCATACAAACTGTTCCCATTAAAATGAATGCCAATTAAAGATTGTACAGACTTGTAAATCCTTAAAATCAAATTTTCCGGCAAAATATTTGTTGATATTTTTAATGTGTTAAATCACTCAGGTAGTTAAATTTGAATGATGTGTAGATGTAGTATGTGAAATAGTTAAATAACAGAAATATTTTATTCTTTCATCAGACACTGGCATAATCTGAAAATTAGCACATTATTGTTCCACAGGTTAACTGTCAGATTTAACCCTGGAACTAATCTAACTAGGCTTAACCCAAGCTGGCATTAAAAATACACGGTAGAGACTTTGGTAAAGCACATGCGCACAGGTCGAGAGAAAATGCAGACCCACCAGCATGGACAGCCAAACCGCCAACACATGCACACTTCACCCGTGCCACTCCAGGCTTATAGGTTTAAATATTGCCATATGCCAAAAAATCCAAAAATATAGGGAGGGATCTGACAGAGACGAGTGCCTGGGTCTGGTCTTATCCCCAACAGATCCTCCTATTTAATTGGATTTGGCATCCTCATTCAATCACTTTCCATAATCCACAGTTTTCTACCATCTAGCTCTTCCCAGTGCACCAGGACTGGCGACCTCTGTTAGTCACAGGTGCTCCCACCTTTACATGGATTGGAATATTTATCATAAAGCACAAATACTTTTCTTTGTTATCACTAGACCGTATATAAACTGTCACCTATCTATGCTAATATAGATCTTAAAAAATTAATAAACGATCTGTGTTTGTTAGAATCTTTTTGGAAGATTGTACAAAAGACACAAGTGAATAGCACCTTTTAATTCAAATTTAGAATTAGGTGCAGTTGAGCTAAACAATGAATTACACTGCATCACTGATCTTACAAATATATCTAGATAAAATCAGTTATATTCCAAAGTCTGGTCTTTCAAATATATCTAGATAAAATCAATTATTAATCACAGTCTGGCCTTATAAATATATCAGGATAAATCAATTATATTCCAATCTGACCTTACAAATATATCTAGATAAATCAGTTATATTCCAATCTGACCTTACAAATATATCTAGATAAATCAATTATATTCCAATCTGACCTTACAAATACATCTAGTAATAAAGATACTATCAATTTATAACATGGTTGATAAATCGGTCCTGAAAGTGGCGACCAGACCCTTGGTTGTTTTGTAACCGAGGGTCAGTTTTGGTCAGATTTGGTCAATCAGCATTGGGTGCAGATTTTTACCAGGAAGCCAAATCTCTGATATTAAAGTGTTAAAACCTTGAAAGATTTCTTATGTATCTCACTAGCAACCCATCTTTCTTTTTTTTCTAGTACCAAGTGGATGGCTACAAATTAAAGATGACCGACTTGACCACAGATGACAATGGGAACTACACCTGTGTTATACAGAACAAGCATGGGAAACTACTGTGGATGTACATGTTGGAAGTCATAGGTACATAATCAAACCAGAAATTAAAAAAAGAGTATTTATTTCAAGTTTATTAAAAACATTTTAAAATTCATTTAGTGATGAACGGTTTAGAATTAATACATGACTAGTTCAATAAAAGTTAAAGTTTGTCTACCTACTATAATTAGAAAGTAATAAGGAACTCCAGCTTGATAATGTAGATATTGGTGAAGTATATCGCCAGTTTCTTCTCTTCAAATGAGATTACATTGGAGTCAGAATTCAGGTTACATGAACTGCAGACATTTTGCTGTATTTAATTACCAACTGTAGAGGATCACTGTTGATCTCTAGAATAGAAAAAGCACATTATACTTATACTCGTTATACAGAGTAGGGAAGAGGTCATTTAAAAAATAGATATTTACTGATAATTATGTAGCTTGCAGCATCTGTTAAAAAGTGTAGCAAGGGAAAAAACCTTTTTAAGTCCATGCCTTGAACCATTGAAGTACAGAGGGGGAGAGTGACAAAAGTTTAAACTTCAAGTCCATCCCTTGAACCATTAAAATATGAAGGAGGGAATGTTAAAAGCAAGGATTTTTTTTTAAAACATGAGGAAAATAAAATTTCATCATAAGTTCTGTCGACAAAGTTTTGTGTGTTAAGTGGTTTATTTTAATGGTGTTGGGTGGCTATCAGAACAGATCTCCATTACTAGCAATTTACACAGAGGAAACATTTTCTGTTGAAGAGATGGAGTAGATACAAAAAGAACTAAACAGATAAAGCAAGGAAAGTGTGAGGTTTCTGCCTTGTTTAGAGAAGCTTTTCTCTATGGTTATTATGTGTGACCAAGATAGGTGTGGAGAGCTCCACTTGATGTTTAGCATAGTAGTGGTAGAATGGAATCTCTGGATTTTTCACCCCCTCCAGTCCCTGATTCCTGCTACAGGTTATTGTAATTGGTCACATAACTGATAAATCAATTTGTCTATCACTCCCTCTCTCTGTCGTAAATCACCAGCTGATAATGATTATCTGCCAATCATTTCTCAAATCATCTTCTGCATCCCGCACTGCATGGTGCAACTGTTTTTTATCCTAATTCTGAAACTGGAGTTTTTCCTCTCGTACTCCCCCAGCTTGAGTCTACACCACCCCAAAGCTATTAAAAGAGCTAGGAAATTATTTCAAAAAGTCACCCTCTGTCTGTTTGTAATTAGTTGAGAATTCTGTTCTGAAGGCATTAAGATTTTATTTCCTATTAATGTTGTAAACTTAGACTTGAGTTTCTGGTAGGGAAGTATACAATATGTGCCTTGTTACTGCTGTCTAGAAACATGCTCTAGGCCATGTAGATGGAAACTTACTTTCTGTGAAGGTTTTGCTGGAAAACATTGGCTGTGATAAAATTAATAGCTCGATAATTGTAAACCAAGAATATTATTTGTTAAATATATTTTGTACATTGGTTTCAAGTTGGCAATTAGTGGTAGCTTGGTATTCTGACAACAGGGCTCCATTGATTCTCAGTTGTAGTTTCATTGTGAAATAAAAATTTTCAGAAATTTGTTTCAATTTTGTAAATTTTTGTAGGAATAAAGAAGAATTTTTGTCATTCTTTATTTTCAAAATACTGCAGAGAAAAAAAAATCAAAATACCTTGAAATTTTAAAAATGGATTCTTTTAAAATTTCAACATTTCGCCTACAATATATTAGAAATGGGAAAAAATGTTTTAAATCAGATATGAAAAGAAACACCAATAGTTTTGCTGATAGCTTTTAAAATATGTGCAATGTTTAGAATTGTGTTGATGGTGTTTGTAGATCGCAAGGTACAGAGGCCTGATGTTGAGGGACCAGTGAACACAACTGCCTATGTTGGTGAAAATATCAAACTGCAATGTAAAGTTAAAAGTGATATACAGGCACATATACAATGGGTGAAACACTACCAGATCAATGGCACATATCGCAAACCAGATGGTACACCTTACGTCCATGTCATACAGGTATGTATGGTACCAACTAGGAGGGAATATGGTTAGCTCCATACTGTCTCTTAACTTTGTACAGACATTGAAACGATTTTTCACTAGATTTTCACAGGAATTAAAAATTTATACAGGATCACAAGACTTGTTGAAAAATTGACAAATATTTGAATTTGCTTTTAATTGTTATATCAAATACATTTTTAATATTTGTATCGATTTTAAAATTCAGTTCATGTTATATTAACTGAAAACAGGAAACAGCCTTAGGGAAAAAACAGCATTTTTTCACGATTTGAAATATTTGTAAAAGAGTTGTAATTATTTAATTCTTACACCAAGATCAACTCTTATTGTTGTCATATTTCAAGTCTTAATGTACTGGTAAGTGCTCATACATTGAAGTTATTTAAAAGTTCTGATGAATGAAAGCATGAAAATGATTCAGATGTATCTGTATAATGAAAATTATTTGAAAGGATAATTTTTTACATAAAAAAGTTTAAAAATATGTACAGTAGAGAATTATAAGCGATGTGTAAAAATATGTCAGGAGAAATCTGGATTTTGTAGAACCAGTGATGCAGAATAGAAATTTCAGTAAAGAATCTAGTAATTGAATCCATTAAATGGCTAGATCATAACTTCCTTTCCAGTAGTTTTCAACTCTTGACATTCCCATCATGACTTCCTACATAGAGTTGAGGACATAAAGGTCAATAGGACAAAGATTGTTTTAAGTTGTAGCAGGATGTCAGTCCATAATGTGCTGTAATGATATCAATTTTCTATATTTACCCCATTTTTAGCTCAACTGGTCCAAAGGACTTTGGCTTATGCCATGGCGCAGCATCAGGTCGTCTGTCAACTTTTTCTACAAATCGCCGCTAGTCATAAATGATGGAATTTTATTAATTTTTGGTTAGAAGCATCCTTGGGTAAAGTTACCCCATCTTGGCCAAGCAAAAGGTCAGATGTCCTGATGCCATGATAAAGTATAATTTCAAACAGTTCAAGGAAGTAAAAGCTTATATAAAACATTCCATTTTATCAACGGAGCAAGTGATCCAAATCACTGAATAAAATTTTCTTGTCAATTTGAGAAATAAAACATTAAAGAAAAGTTCATATGTTTATTTTTCGCGGCAAATTATATGGTGATTAATATCGAGACACAATGCATTTTCCTGAACAAAAAAAAAACATTCACAAATTGTAACTTACAATTTTGCCAGTCAATAATTGAATGGAATAAATGATATTTATAAGACATTTCAACCATACATACTGACATGGATTGGATGATCATTTTCCTTATTGTTATCCAATATGGTGCCCAATATTTTCCCTTTTGCAAAGTGTATCATCTCGGGATAAGCCCATCCCCTTCTTAACTCATTTTTAGGGAACTAGCCCCTGGGCTTATACCCATTTAATATGTAAATGTAAATCAAAGTTCTGTAGAGGAGCAGGTCCTTATACACAAGGTAAATAGAAGTAAGAGATAAAATCATTCTTTTTCTGCTTCAATGAAGCTGTTTTGTCAAAGTGTAATTTGAAACTATAAAAGTTCCTCATATTTTAGGAAAAGAAAATATTTTTAAGTGAACACTAATATATCCTGGTGAGCGAAACAGGTCCAAGGGACCTCTTGTATAAGATGCTGTGAATATTCACCCCTTATAAACATCATGATAAGATCTGTTTTCTTGTGTCATTTTCAGGGTCGTAGGGTATGACAAGTTTCAGTACTCTGCATCAGTGACAAAATCTGTGTTGTTATGCCTGACTGCATAAATGTTGTCATTTTAAAGTACCCAGTCCTTCAGTTATAATGATTTGAATGCAACCGTCACTGAATATGTGTGTCAAATTTTAATGACGTGTGTGTATGTGTTGTCAAAATTTATTCCAGAACGTTATGAAGTGTTGTTAGAATAAGAAATGCATGTATGTTGAACTGCCCTTACCAGTCTGTTGTACCAGTGCTTGTATCACAAAATCTGATTGGAGTCCTTTCACATAAATTTGACTTACATAACAAACTTGCACCATACAGCTCCTACAGATGAAGTCAGTCTAGTTATTGCATTGCTGACATAGCATGTGAAGGAACAGAACAATTTTCATTTTATAAGGTGTTCAAAGGGAGGTAATCCAGACTCGTTCCTGACACCTGAATGAGAGATTTCCAGTCTTGTTTTTTGTTCTGAGTTGATTTGCATGTTATTTCTGACCAGCCCCGCCACTAATTATGATGTGATATGAACCTAACAGCAACTCTAGCCAAGTTAAACCTCCTCTGGCTGATGAATGCTTTTGATGTTGTGGTATCTCATTTCCATTACTTGATAAATTTCAGTCATTTGTTTATGGAACAATTTTTTTTCTTTTTTCTTTTTTTTGAAAAAAAAAAAAACCAAAATATGGTTTTTGTAAAAATATCAATTTTTATTCACAATTCAACAGAAAACACATAATTGACGTTTTCTTTCTTATTTCATGTTTTAACCTGTAAATCTGCTCCGAAAATTTTAATTTCCTGGAAAATTAATGAATTGCCACCCTGTTGTTCCTTCAGCAATCAACATACAACATGACTAACCCGGAAATATTGGAGATTTTGAATGTGTCAAAGTCAGATCGAGGCTGGTACACATGTCTTGTTTCTAACTTTGCTGGTCGAAGATTTGGAAGTGCTTGGCTGAAAGTGGAAGGTAAAGTACCTCTTTAACAATACAGGATAGATTTGAAACCGGGTTTGTGATTTTACATTATAAGATCTAGTGCAACTTCCCCCTAACCAAAATGTAGGGAACATGTCCCTTTTATGGTAGTAGTAATGATCATTCCAGTATCAATCCCTCTCGGTTCCAAATTGCAAAACAAATTTTGTGTCTGAAATTCTACAATATGCAGATAAGTACCTCTTAAAACTGACCTTACTCACACAATGAAGATCTGAGTTCCAACCCACAGACAGTTATTCTACACCTATGGCTGCCTTCGCAAGCTCTGTGCCTTGGATACATATTTGTTCTGGGTAGGCTTCATACACGAAACATATGCCAACAATTACAAATGATATTTATCACCAATGACACAATGAAATGATATCAGACAAATCTGTCATCACAGCAAGTTATAAATAAAGTGAAAGTAAGTGCGGATGCAGAAAGTCATAGGTTTACATCTAATTTGGGAGTGATGGAATATGTTATTTTAGCACATGCAAAATGGAAACTTTAATGGAGTGTTGTTTGATTTCATGATCCCTGAAAACATCAAGTCTTTTTCAAGACAGTTTATTGCCTGAAATGGCAATAATAGCCCCAAAGGAAAGACAATTTACAGTTTATACAGAAAAAAGGATGGTGTAGTATTTTGTTCCAAATAAACTGCGCAATGAATCCAACTGTTGTTTCCTCTATGATATCATTAATTGAAGATCATTTTACTACTTATAGCTCATTGGAATGTAATTCTAAAATCTTTTAAAGCATGAAAAATGTAGTCAATGAAAAACATTAACAGGATAATGTCTATTTCAGATGAGAGACCCAATCTCCATGGCAATGAAACAAACATGAGACGTTCACAAGAGGCACCGCGAAATTCATCTAAAGAATACACAATCATCGCTGTTGTCTCTGTATTCTGCTTTGTCTTCATCATTGTCATCATCCTTCTTATTGTTGTCTGTCGTCGCAAGTACAGTTCACGCGGCAAATATGGCTGTGTTAAACGAGTGATCGTCCTTAAAGCTGTAAGTCATACTAAAGGTTGATCATAGTTCATTTACATTTAAGTGAAAAATTATGCATTTTTTATGTAATTGTGGCTTATACCGAATTTTACATTTTGATGTGGTATCTTGATGTCTGTTTTTAATTTTACAGAATGAAATTTACTATCCTGATAAGGCCTCGCTGGAAGGCCAACCCCTGGTTATACCACAGGTTCGCATTGAGAACTCGACTCGACGACGGCGCTTGTCATCCGACCTCACCTGTATGTTTGAATATGACTTGCCACTGGACAGCAAATGGGAATTCAGCCGAGACAAGTAAGGACTCTCTCCAACACAAAATTATCGTCTGGACAACCGTGTAATTATTGGACTAGTTTGACATATTATAATAACTGGTTCTCATTGTATATTTTAATGTACTTTCAGATTGACATTGGGAAAACCTCTAGGGGAAGGAGCCTTTGGGTTAGTGATGCGAGCAGAAGCCATCGGCTTGAAGTCCTCTCCTCTTACCTCCACAGTTGTTGCTGTCAAGATGTTGAAAGGTAAGTTGTCAGGGTTTTAAGAAATGCAGGTTGATGAAGCTATCGGGAAGTGCTTTAGTCAAAATGGTGATCACATTTCAAATACGTTCTCTACCTGTACAGTGTGAATTTCATATGTTCAGTGTTTTCATCACTTTTCTTCAAATGTATCAGCTGCATTTTCGCGAAACTTTGGGTGGTTACTAATACTAATGGTTTCTACATATACAAACAACCGTTTTCTGATTTGGTAAGATATGCAAAGATATTGAGCAGATTTTAGGTAGTATCCTAATCATTACCCCACTGAGAAGTAACATAGTAGGATTGTATAAACAAGTTTGATGTTTTTTGTTACAGAGGATGCCACTGATCGTGAGTTGACCGATCTGATGACTGAAATGGAAATGATGAAGTTAATTGGCAGTCATAAAAACATCATCAACCTCCTCGGATGTTGTTCACAAAATGGTGAGCACAGGTTTAAATTCATGTGTATATTGTACTAGAGAGATGAAAGTGACAGTGAATCAAAGACTGCCCACAGACTAAAGCATTTTCATTCTCATAATCTTAAATACGGATGCTAACCTATGTGTCAACACAAATCTTCAATCTCAAGCTCCAACAGATTTATACAGTTTTACAACCTACATGAAATTAGATTTGATGTATTTGGTTATCACTCGGCCCAAAGTGCCATGTGAGCTTATGCCATGCTGCTGTGTTAAGGGTCAACTTTTCCGTTTCAATGACATCTCAATGACTAACGGGCCAAACGTCATATTTTGCAGATAGCTTCCTAGGATGAATCCTGGCAAAGTTTGCAATAAGAAATGACCTTAGCCCATATTTAAGGTTACAGGAGTTAAATTTGTTGAAATGACTTTTTATTTAACAAAATACTCCGAGCAAATTTGTCTGATAGGTTCATAAGTTGAAGGCCGACAACTTCTTTGAAAAAGAAATGACCTTGGCCCATATTTAAGGTTACAGGAGTTAAATTTGTTAAAATGACTTTTTATTTAACAAAATACTCCGAGCAAATTTTTCTGATAGGTTCATAAGTTGAAGGCCGACAACTTCTTTGAAAAAGAAATGACCTTGGCCCATATTCATGATCACAGGGGTCTGTTTTGTAAGAAACTTTGAATAACCATATTTGATCAACTGCCAAACATACCAGAAGCTTGATATTTGGCAGAGAGGTTCTTAAGATGAAGCTTGTTTGAAATAAGATTGAAGAGGTGTTGTGAAATACTTGTGTGTTTGAGATGAACATTGCATACCAGGTGAGTGATGCAGGCCCATTAGGCCTCTTGCTTATTAGTTGGATATCTTGAGTTTGGAAGTTATCTACATTATGTTACAAATTCTGATTTTGTTTTAGGTCCCCTATATGTAGTTGTGGAATATGCTCCCCATGGGAACTTAAGGGATTTCCTGAGGTCACGTCGACCTCCAAGCTCGGGTTACGAGAAACCAAATTTAGATGGAGATGACCGAGCTCTCACAGAAAAAGACCTCATATGTTTTGCCTACCAGATAGCAAGAGGCATGGAATATCTTGCTTCCCGGCAGGTGAGTGGTATTACAGCAATCATGACTGTCATGAATCCATTCTAGAGTCAAACGTCCAATTCTACAGGAAAAGGAAGAGATACACTATTGTCTTTGTTGCACTAACCATTATCATAATCAATGGAAATAATTGATGAATGGAGCTTTCTTTTTTATCTTTTTTTTATTATGCAGTTTGGAGATAAAATATTTTGTTTACATATGAAGCTATCACAACAGTATTGAAAACTCGCCAAATTTGCCAAGGTCAACCTAATATTCAGACTGTCATGAGTGACTCACCTGAGTGAACCTTCTGATTATCAAATAACCCACATTGTTTTCTTGAAAGACAACTTGCTTTGGAATACCTCAAGATTTACCACTCAAATGTTATTTACTCTGAAATTAGTAGTCTCGCTCAACCAAATGTTTGTTATCTGTACACATTCACACCCCAAGTTCAAGAGTCTGATTGAGCAAGTCAACTTTTCCTTGCAGAAAGAATAGGTAGTTTTCAGGTTAGATAGTCTTACATCTATAATTTAATCAAACGTTCAATTTGTTTTGAAGACAAAGACATTTCCCATCATAATAGAGTCTGCTACAGTCGGCAGAGTGAAGAAATAGGATATGTTTAAGTTCATATAAAAACTGTTTTGCGAATCTGAATTTACCTAGTCTAAAGGAGTCTCTGAGCTTTTTAACAAGGTATAATAATTATTTTCAAAGTGTGATAAGAAACCGGTGAAGCAGAACAAAGTGCTATTTGTTACAGTAAGAAAATGATACACGCTGGCTAATAGATATTTATGGAGTGATGTTTAGGGATTGGAACTAGACAATGATGTACATTTGGAAAATTACAACAAAAAGGTCCCACACTCATGACTCTTGTTTTTACCCTTTCACCCTTGTTTTAGCTGGTCATGACCAGATATTTCACCCTGAGAGGTTGGCAATACTGTCAGAAAGGTTAAAATCTTAAGTGTCTAGTTCTCCCCAGATACATCATTGGTCCAATTAACTTTACTAGACAGGCAAAAGAAAGTCCCTGCAGTGGGAAGTTTTATAAATTAGCCCTCCAAACTTACTCCACTTTATGAACATAGTGTCTTTTCTTCAGTTGTAACAATTATCTTTGTTCCCATTTTACAGTGTATACACAGAGATTTAGCTGCCAGAAATGTGTTAGTGGCAGAAGACTACGTTCTGAAGATTGCTGACTTTGGTCTTACACGAAACATTACAAATGTGGACTACTACAGGAAAACTGGAGATGTAAGTGCAATTGTCAACAAATAATGTCTGCTTCAGTTAGTACATTCTTCATACCACGAAATTCATTTTTAAATGATTCAGAATATGATTTGTGCACATTCTGCAAAAAAAAGTTACCAATGATAATGGAGGGTGTTCTTTGATTGTAGGGTCGTCTTCCTGTCAAATGGATGGCTCCAGAAGCTTTATTTGACCGTAAATATACTTCTAAGAGTGATGTGTAAGTATCAGCTTTCTTTAATTATGATGTTTCTTTTGATATGTGAAGTTGACTGCTATATGTATCATTTCTACACAATCATGTTTGAAGATCTGTAGTCAGTATTGTTAACAAATATGTGTTCCAAACTGACTATAGCATCACCTTGTCTATACACCTGGGCAGTCTTTGTTTATGAGATCAATTTCTCTCTGATCATCAGATTTTGTCTTTGTTTATGAGACCAATAACTCTCTGATCATCAGATTTCGGGTGATTCAAATTGCCCTATGTCTTTGGTCCACGTCATCTGTAAACAAATTTTATCTCTTTTTCTTGAGAAAGACGAATAGATATCTCCATATTTTATTTGTAGTCAGTGGTCCCTAGTTGTGCCCATATGATCAGAAAAACAGAATGGCTGACATGTGGCCATCTTGAATTTTTACATTGAAAATTTACTGTTGCTATTTCTGGAGAAATGCTCAATGGATCTTTCCTTAACGGAATATTAGATTTCAAATAATTAAAAGCAGAAACAGAGGATAGAAGAGAAAAGCAAGGAAAAGATCCATTTTTGAAAGAACAAATAGAGATCAAACAATGGTTGGCACCAAGATCCGTCTAGGATGTCTTGTAGTTATGTAATGACTTGTATGATGGTTGTTCTGTGTGATACTGTGGATGGCTTTGCGTGATGACTTTTACCTGTATATGTGGTTGTAGTGTATTTTACAGTAGAAGATTTTTCATGATGACTTTTACTTGTATAGGTGGTCATACGGTATTTTACTATGGGAGATATTCACACTTGGTGGCAACCCCTACCCGTCAGTACCTGTGGAGAGACTGTTTGAGCTACTGAGGGAAGGACATCGAATGGAAAAGCCACCATATGCTTCCATAGAAATGTATGACATGATGAACAAGTGCTGGGGGCATAATCCGCTCCGCAGACCATCGTTTTGTATGTTGGTCAAGGATCTGGACAGGATTCTAACAGTGCGCTCTAGAGAGGTCAGTACACATGAGATATAAATTATTTCTATTACTAACCAGCAGTTGCTGACTTCCAATGATTTTGTAGTTTTTACCCTGATTTGTTAGAGTGTTACCCAATTATAATCCTGCCATACCATAAAATTACTCGTTTTTCGTAGTTCTTGTGGGTCTAGTGCTAGGATTAAACACAAGTTTCTGTAAACATAACAGAAATTTCCAAGTCAAGTTGTTCTAATACTCATTTTTTTACTGTTGCAGTTCCAGGAGTACTTAGATCTGGAGCCAGTGGAAAGTAGTCGCAGTTCTGACTGTCGAACGTCAGACAGTCAATATTCTTCCATGTCACGGAGCTGTAGTAGCGTTGATGAGAGTGAAATCACGAGTACAAGTAGTAGTGGCAATGACTCGGAAACAGACTGTGTGTAGTCAAGGCATTCTAGGAAATATGTGTAACCATGAATCTTGTGTTGGAATAAAAGACACAAAATGAAGCCTGGCCAACCAAGTGATTTAAAAACTGACATTTCTTCTCATGGATTACAAAGTTTTAGTTTTTATTGTTAGTGAATGAGACATGTCGCGGCCAAGGCAGCAGGGAATCCGCTATATCGAGGTGATCAGATTTACACAAAACAGGACGGAATAGGGAGCCCGTGTCACTTACAGCATATAAAAGTGCGAGAGTGAAATGAAAAGTGTGACCATGTGTGTTTATATATCTATAGGTGTCACATGGGCAAGACATTATACCTATCTATGCAAACATTGTTGTGCCAAGTATCAGAAGGATTTCACCACAGACTCAACATTTATAAAGAGACATGTATAACACAAAACTGTTGGACTACATTACAGGAGATCTAAGATGTGAATATTTGTTGACTTGGAAAAGGAGAATCTGCAAACGTTACACTGATTTGCAAAGTGATTACCTTGGAGGAGGATAAAAGTGGCGGCATTTACAACGTATATCAGTGAAGCATTTTTCTCTGGTTTCAGCAATGTGCTACACAAACTAAACTGTATAAAGACCGCACAATTTGGTGTAGAAACTTGTCTCATAATGTGATGACAGCAAGGAACCTTGTCTTGATTAGTAATGGTATCTTACATGCCAAGAACATTGTATGATAATATGTCGAGAAATCCAGCCACTATGTCCAGAATTGTTTTTATTACTTCAAGCTTGAGACACAATTTGCTACTCTTGTGTTGTTATCAAAGATGTGTTTTGTATGTTGAACTGTTGTTAACACAATGGAATAGACGCACATGTTAAAACAAGCCAGCATTACTCACAAGCAGTGAATCTTAAGGGTAGTGATCTTCTTGTTTACACTGTATGTTGATAGGTGTAACTAGTAACAACAGTTAATTAATAGCTTCAATTTAGGAAATATTGACATCACTGTACCACAATCAAAATGTTCAGGCAGAAATTCTTCACAAATACATTTACAAAAATCAGGACATGTTTTCAAACACTGTTTCACACTCACACATGTTTAATCAAAATTATTCAGCTATTTTTTCTTTTTCATTTTTTTTTTTTCAATCTGGACCAACTCGCAATTCTGTTAAAGAAGATATATGCCATCCAAAAATAATATTTCTATATATTTCAGATAGGTTTGATTTTGGTGCCGTGATGTCCAATATTGATGTCTTTTTACCTGATCCTTTTACCTGTATTAAGCTATTCTCCGGTTCATTCCTAGGGAATCTCCTACAAAGGGTCCATTCTTACAGAAATGTTGAATCCCAAGGGAAACTGATGTAATCTTCGTCGAGCAGGATTTGGAAGGGATGACAATATTTAATTCTGTGTAAATTTCAGATCAACAAGTACTCTGTATTGGATATCAGCGCTATGTAAATAATCTATTTATGTATATTTTGAACTGTCAGATGATTACTACTAAGGTTATTGTCGAGATATTCTGATGAAGTTATGATCAATAATTATTTTTTATCTTGGAAGGAGATTTTGTTGTAATACTGAACATGTTTTATGTGAAATTCTCTGAACAATGACACTGAGGCTACTGGAAACTTGAAACAAACTAAACCAGTAGCAAGTGTATCCAAGGAGTGTTGATGTGTAGGATTCATCGTTAATACAGCCGTTTTGTTTGTCAAATTTTTATATGCTTTTAGAAGGTTTAGACAAGCCTTATATTTTTTATTGGTATTGATTAGTATTGATAGATATAAATCATGTTTCATATTGAACAGTGATTGTCAGCTTTAAAATGAAATAATTGTTGACCAATTTTTTTTTAGGACAGAATGAAAAGAAATGCAATGTTTTTTTAATTATATGTGTTTCTTATGGCCAGATTTTTCATTTTAGACACAAATTATTTTTATTACCAGTGGTACTGGTTGATGTAGAGATTTTCTCTTGTAAGGGACATAAATTTTGTCTTGATCACTGCCAATTTTGTTTGAAAGCAGTGTAACAGTTGTATTTGGTGCCAAGCTGTGTTCATGTTATTTTTTATTTTTTAAAAGAGCAGTTTTATGTAAACAACTAAATCTGCCTTTGTTGTATTAGGATTAATTTTAAATATTTTTTTAGAAGAATGCGTTAGATAGAAAATGTACACAATATTTTTGTAATGATTAGGAAATAATGAAACAGAGCTAAAATGTTGTTTTGAATGATTATAGTTTATTTCTTCTAATATTCTTCAGAATCTTTTTTTTTTTTTTTCCTTAATCGATTGACAATCGAATATTGTATTACCCGACAGTTCCTCTATGTATCTTAATGTTGGGCATTTTGCTATATAATTTCTATAGAAAAAATACAAATTATTTTCTATTCTTTTGTACTTTTGTTTGTAAAATCCTGTATGTCTTAAATATATACAAGTCTTCCTATTTTGTTAAATTATCAAACATAGGTATCTCGATGTAGACCAGCGAACAATTTATCACCTGTGACCGCCATATTTTTGGTCAAGTCAAATGGTATTGATTTAAGGTAATGCTATAGACAATAGACTGTTTATATGCTCATTGGAAAGAAATCCAAAACCAACAATCAAAATCACATTACTATGAATCACTTGACTAACTGTAATGTAGATAGCAAGTTCTCTGGCGAAACAACAAATTAGCATTTAAAACCCCACAGGGTAAGAGAAAATTGTGAGATGGGCAATCTCAACACTTCAGGTAAGATTCTTAAGTTGCAAAGCACTCAGCAAGCCTCATGTTTATTAACTTAAGACTCCTGCCATTTGGGTTGAGTTCTCATCACCAAGACAGTGAGAGCTGCTACCATATACAGTGTCAAGTTGTCTCAAGATAACAACATCTCATTAGAAGAGGTTTGATTTCTTCAGCGTGTCATGCAAGTTTTCATTATTTTTGTAAAAGATTATTTCCTGTTTTTATCTCCAGATTGTGTTCAAGTTAAAACTGCAATAACTAAGTGTTCATTCAGTTGCATTTAAACTCGTTTACTAAAATGATATTGTATAGAATATCTCTCGCCCTTATTTCAACTTTCTCAAGTCAATGTGTTCAATTAATGACAAACTTTGTACACTAGATATATTGTTATGCTTTTTTATATAAATTTCCATTTGTTGTTAGTATATATGCAGATGGAAATCTGCCTTGTTATACTTTTATCAAATTATGTGTCCGTACTACTGCCTCTCTACCAAAGTGTTACTGACAAAGTCACAGAGAAGTCATCCAACGACAGACAACAGACTCCACAATATCAGAAGCAATACTAAGAGTGAAAACATTTTTGCAGTGATAGAGTTACTTGAAAACCCTATTTTTATTTACAATATGTAAGTCATTTTTCTAGATAAAAAGATAAAAAAAAATTTTTGTTTTTAAAATTGCAATTTGTATTTAGGAAAAAACTTGAAGCAAAAATTAATAAAGTAGTATCAGTGAATTATATATATGAGTGTGGCCTTTCTGTTACACTTTGGTAGATATTTGTACAATGTCAACAGTATTGCCAAAATGTTTTGTCCCAAATTCATACATCAATTCACCAATAAGCATTCATTGTCATATCAACATCATCACATCCTGTTTGTCTTGTTCAGTAATCAATGACTCAAGTTTCATAAATCTAGATATTGAACTGAAAGTCACTTAGAATTGAATAATTTCTGCTGGAATTCAGGATTTTTTTTCATCATGTGGAAAGAGATGTATTTATAAATAAAATAAAATTGCTTTGGTTTTCTGTTAATCAGTCAAAACTTTCAAAACAATCATAAGACTAAAGTGTTTTTCATTCTGTCATGAACCAGGAAAGAAAATCCAATTTTTCAAAAAATGTAATGACAAGAAAAGAAGACATATTTGTTTAAAATTTTGAGTTGTTGAAGATTGAACATAAGAAATGTGATGTGAGCCGTCAATGTACTGATCAGAGGTGTTGTTGGTAACAGTAAAACTCTGTAGAAAGTGTTGCATTGTATATTAATTAGGGGAAATAAAGATTCCAGCAAATCAGTGCAAACAAAGTTAGTCCTGTGTTTTCTTTCCATGATATCAACACATTAGCATTGCTTCCCTCGTAATGACTGTCTTGTGGTATAGTTATGATCAGAGTTGTCGCCCCTAGCTACCATATTGCTTCCCTCGTAATATGTTGTAGTATAGTAATTGGGGTTGTCACCCCAAGATACAATGTCGGATTGTTAAGCAAACCATCTTAACATATTGATAACATCAACTCTTTTTTAAAGCTTTGAAAGAAAGCTAAATAATGAATGAAAGAAAGATTCACAGACACTTTTGGACTTTTGAAACAAAGACAGCATAATAAACAGTTGAAAAAATAAAGAAGGAGGTGATGTCCATTAAAGTCGACTCAGATGTCACCTTCACGAGAGATCAAAATAAACAACAACTGAACGACAAGACCTGCCTTAAAACATCTTATTTTATCCCACATCAATAAATGCAGGTAGATAAGATGATAACAGTAAGCATACATCTTGCCAATAATCTTTTTATCAGTCCATCAAAAATATTGAAGGGACACGAGTAAATAATTAATCCGGAGATCTCCGACGACAGTTTAAACAAATCTTTATCAGACTTCGTGAGATTCACCACCATCACTGAAGTTGTGCTTTCCTAAAAATGTCAGTTTTAATTCATTATATATATAAGATATACTTTCCCTTGTTACATCTAGCTCACCTGGTCCGAAGGGGTAACTTCGGCAACCAAGTTTGCCAAAAGAAATTACCTTAACCCATACTCAAGGCCACAAGGGATAACCTTGGCTGATAAGTCATACAAATGAAGCCTGACAAAGTTTGCGAAAAGAAATTACCTTGAACCATATTCATTGGAAAATTTGTCAAAACTCGTCAAAGATTTCTGGTAAACCAGCAGTCTGAGAAGCAGGATAGCTGGTGGAAAGGTGTGTAGGAGTCAAATTTCGAGCAAAAAAATGAGGAAATGACATTTACATGTAATCACTTATAAATGTCACAATTTAGAGCCGAGTGTTTAAAGTTTAATTTTGTGGTATCAATTGGTTGAAATTGATCGGATATGCCCACTTTGAATAACAATGCTGTGTATTTGTAATGAACATTGATGGTACTTTTGGTCTTCTTGTTCAAATAAATGATATTAACTCTCTTTCTAGTGAAAATAGATCATTTCTTAGGTTTCATCAAATAACTTCGATTTTGAACCAAATTTGGTTTAATTTTTGACATCGATATGATATTGGATTAGTATAGTGAAGATTTTCCGGAGGTGGAAGGGCTTTCTATCCCGAGCCAAAATGCAGCTTATATTATAAGACCAGTTATTGCATTTATCCTGCCACTTTGACTGAGAATCAGAAAATCAAACCTTCAACAGTTTTGTTGTTCAATCTTTGTTAACCCTCACGTTGACGTTACGCTGAATTTTGTCTGATGACGTACGCCAATGTCATCGCTCCGCGGAGAAATATAGTTCCAAACTTTAACGAATACGTCAGCGATTTTATGATATTTTGAAACTAACCTTGTATATGACAACTTATAAAAGCGTTTATTTCAACAGTCATTTCTATTGTTTTACGTAATTTTAAAGTCATTTCAGAAAGTAGTTCTGTTGAATTAACGCGCGTGCTAAAATACAGCTGTTTTCCGTCACTGCCAAATACAGCAAAAAATACATGTGGCAGGTGTATTCCGACAATGGCAGCGCCAGTTGCAGGATGAATATAAAAAGGGAGGAGGGGAGTTGATGCTTATGGTCTGAATGATTACAGAGGTGTGACATCGATAAATTGTTCGGATAAATTATTTACGTCAATGCTTAATCAAAAGTTAATGGAATGGGATAATTAATACAATATGATATCAGAATTTCACTTTGGGTTTAAATTTGGGTGAGAATTCTACTACAGATGTTATTTTGCTCTTCAAACCTTTAAACTTTGGTAAATAGTGCGTTGAAAAGTGATAACATGTTTCACTGCCACTATACAGTTTATGAGAAAGGTTTTGATTTAATTAATAGAAACTGTCTATGGTCACAACTCATAACACAGGGTAATGATGGGAATTTAGTAGTAGAAAGCGGTTGAAAACATAAGGTTCCTAGACAAAACAGAGTGTGTGCATCATAAATGTAATAAAAGACATTATTTATAGAAAACCAAGTGTGTATAAACTTGTTCAGACAATTGTTAAGTGTAAACAATTTAAAAGAATTAGATAAAACAGACAAGTTTTTACATTTTGCGTTCAAGAGAAGAAATGAAATATTCAGAAAAAATGATTATTTATTGTTAACTTGCAGTCAGTAAAAATTATCTGCTAATGTACAATGTACTTATCTGATAATAATCTCTCTCCGCCTGTCTTTGATTGTTCATTTTTGTGTGTGTATGGTTATACGGTCTCTCTCTGTTCTTGTTGTTGTTGTTAAGCCGTAAGGCCTAAGGAAAAAGTAGCATACATTTACAAGTTTTGTCTGATTCAGTTTACAAGCTTATTTATTCCAAATACAATACAGCATATAGGATACAAAGATACATAATTAATTGTTTCAAATTCTTAAGTAATGTACAATATGGCGGGGGACAATTCTATTCGAAGAAATAATTATGTACAGACGTTTCATTCATTACAGCATGACAGAAATATTGTAGCAAATATTCGAAAACAAACAACATAGCAATAAACATGACGTTATGAAATTTGGTAACACAAAAGCAACACCACTACAGAAACTAAATTATCCAAAAATACACGAAGGGTTTATTTAAAGTATTTTTCAGTATGCAATTAACGAACATGAAAAGTCTATTGCATTTAAACAAACAACATAAATTTACAAACTCATATATTGATCACATACAATAATTTGATGAATATTGCTTCTACTGCATGGCGCCGTCTGTGTACAAAATAACATCGTGTGGAGCACTGGTAACGCACTCGACTTTCACCTAGCCGTCCGGAGTGCGATTCCCGGAACGGACATGAAGAGGTAAAATGTCATTTGCCCGATAACGTGTAATTTTCCCCGGGTACTGTTGTTTTCTCCCACATCCGGGCCAAAATGGGTGTTTAGTTGAAATAACTTGTTTCTCAATTGTTAAATAATTAAGTTTACATTCATATTTTATAAT